TTTTCCAGGTAACCTCATGGAACCATATTTCGTGTATCACAGTGAACTGTTGAGTCGTGTATGGCGCGATATCTGTAAAATCAACTCATTCGCCACACAGAAACACATGAATTACTAGGAACAAATAAATTGCAGCTGTTTACCTGTTGGTGAATATATCTGTGATTGGATTCGGTTTGACTAGAGGTCAGGTCATGTCAGAGCCAGTATATACCACTAGATATATCCGGTTTAATATCGCCGGCAAAAAATGTGCTCTAGTGTAGTAACCAAAACCCACGCACAGCTATGTGCTCTCGTATCAGCTTTATTTTCGGACAAAAACAATCTTATTATAATTTTATCTGTATTTCATTTTCAACATCGACGAGACGTATCCGAGTAACATATATTTCGAGTTACTTGTCACAATTATTTAATAAACAAAGTATTCAACCAATAAGTATTCGGAATATTGATTAGCGACATACGATTATGAAACGGATTCCTTTTTTTTTAGTTGGAAAGTTGTTTCATGCTGGGTTAGAAGGAAGATTCGCGAATTCAATTTAGGGTAATCTATTACTTCAATATGACTGAGAGGGATATAAGCGTTTTCATTCATCCACATTTAGTGTAATTGCGTGTTAGTTTTCAATCTGCGAATACAGGTTTAGTTAGTATAGCTAAACGTGCACTATAATATGCAAATATTATGTCACTGTGTGTCACGTGACCATGTATAGATTTATATTAGCACCGTTTGAATATTGTGATTTTCTATTTGATAAAGCGGTTATCAAATACCTTAGTTAAAAATTCTCCCAAAGAAAGGCAGGAATTATTATTCGTGCGAATAGAAATTGACATGCAGGAAGGACACTTTTGACAAATTAATTTAGATGTCGTGGGAAATCACACAAAGCAGTCCTACAGTATAAAGTTACTAGTAGGAATGGTCCCCGAATATATGAACGCATGTTGTATAACTGGTTTCTGGACAGACAGGCTGTCTATCACTTTTCACAGTATAACAGGGCTAGTAGTACTTGAATAAAATATGATGGCTATGAAATAGATTTTTTAATAAATCGGATATTTATCAGTGGCCAAACTTTTTATTGATTTATTACGGAAACTATTTTTGTTACTATAATGACTAAAATGTCATCATTCAAATATGTTCTTCACTCTTCGCTAAAGGTGCGCAAATTAAACCATGTATTCACCATGACTATTTTGAATTGAGTCTGACCAGTTTGAAGGAATAAATTTCCAGAACTAGAAGGCACATCAAAATTCCCGAAACCCGATTCCAAAGATTGTGTTGTTGTAAAGAAACGAATAGCAAGAAAAGGTTATTGTTTTAAAGGTTCGCTGGCAATTCCGTAACTTAAGCTTATAATCCAATAATCACACACAAAAAAAGTACACGATCGTAGTATTATTTTGGATGTCAGCTTTGTGAACCATATATATATATATATATATATATATATATATATATATATATATATAT